AGAGTGCGGGAGGACCCCTTGATCTCCTGTGTTCATAGGCAGCAGGGGAGGTGAAAGGAGCCATGGATGAAGGGAAGGGTGGCAGGATTCTAAGCCATCTGGTACTCAGCAACACGTGTGAGAAGCACAGATAAAGGACACGTCCTACCAGGCCTCGCACCTGGTGGACAATGTGATGTCAGTGCCATTTGTCTTGAGTTTCCCAAGAAGACTGAAATCCACACCCAGGCAGCACAGGCCCTGAAGGAGAGACTCTTAAACAAAGGAAAGGATTTTCTCTTGGCCCAAAGACCTTCATAGCTACCAAGGGACAGTTTCACCTTTAGTATCACAAACTGTGCTGTGTAAGGAATGACAGAGCACGGAGAACTGAGGAAAATAATGGTTTTCTTCACTTCTTGGGACCTTGGCTATGGTCATATTTTCAGCAGGTTGCCTATAAAATACTAACTATTTCTCAAAATAGACATACGTCGTCTGAATTTAACTCTTACGGAAAACTTAATGCAGATGGTAGGGTGGGTTTTATTCCCTCTAGCTGATGGGTGAACTAACTGAGGAGGTTGGTAGTAGAGACAGAACAAGGAATAGGACATTTGACATCTCATTTGGTTAGAGATTGCTCTGGGCCTGGCACTGTGGCGTAGCAGGTGAAGCTGTGACCTGCGATGCAGGCAACCCAGTTTGAGTCCTACTTGCTCCATTTCTGAACCAGCTCCCTGCCAATGTACCCGGGAAAGCAGCGGAAGATGACCCAAGTCCCTGGGCCTCTGCTCCCACATGGGCGATCTAAATGAAGCTCCTGGCTCCTGGTTTCGGCCTGGCCCAGCCCTGGCTGTTGTGTCAACCAGTGGATAGAAGATCTCTTTCTCTGTATCTCTCCCCGCCTCTCTCTCTATCTCTGCCTTTCAAATAAACAAAATAAATCTTTAAAAAATAGATATTCCTCCATTATATTGGACAAAATGAGTTTGGACAATCTTAAATGTGTAGCAGTGTGCTGGCCAAAATGGTCTTGATGAGCCACAGGTGACTAATGAACACTTGAAGTGTAGCTGCATCAGATTGACTCGCACTGTCTAAGTGTAAAATAGACACCGACTTTCAAGACTCAGAATTTAAAAAAAGATATAAAATATCTCATTACTTTGATATTGACTATATGCTGAAACAATATTATCTTGGATATACAGGGTTAAATAAACAGATCAAAATTAATTTTATCTGCTTCTTTTGACCTCTTGAATTTGGCTACTAGAAAATTTAAAGTCATAAATGTGGCTGACATTTTATTTCTTTTTTTGAAGTTTTAATTAATTGATTATTTTTATTTATTTCTATTTTTGTGAATGAACAATTATTTTAAATGGAAGGAAAGACAACAATGCGAAGCAATAGTTCTGTGTTCCAAACAACTGAGTTATACGCCAGTTACTATGTCTCTAAAAGCAGAGAGAGAGAAAGACAGAGGGAGTGGAGGAGAAAGAGAGAGAGAAAGATACCTTCCATCTACTAGTTCACTCCCCAAATGTCCAAGACAGCCAGGGCTAGACTAGGTCAAAGCTGGGAGCCAAGTCTCCCTGGTGGGTGGCAGGGATCCAACTACTCGAGCCATCCCTACTGCCTCCCAGGATACACATCAGCAGGAGACGGGAACAGAAGCAGAGCCAGAATGTGAACCCAGCACTCTGATACAGGATGCGGGTATCCCAAGTGAATCTCCACCACTGCGCCAAATACTCACCCCTTGCCTATCATTTCTATGGTAAAGTGCTCATTTGCAGAGTACTGTGAGATCTGTTTGGAGGGACTGTTTAGGATCTAACTATTGGTTTTCCGGTTGCAGTGAAACTTCCCTAGCAACTATATAGCTTCATTCCCAGCATTCTTTCTTTTTTGATAGGACTGAAAGCAGGAGAATGATGACGCCAATTTTCAAAGGTTCTTGTGACCCTGTCTATTGAAAGAAACAGCAGACAAGGACCCAAGGCTACAGTTTATTTGATAAGATTAAGTAAAAATTATGAAAATGATGATTCCCAATTCTTCCTTTGGTGTCTGTACTTTAAAAACCCAGGGATCTTGTTACAGTTCATTTCCAGACCCTACACTAGAATATTCTCCCATTTAACTTATGTTTTTTACCTCAATGAGAGTATGAATTCCTATGTCCTACTTCTTGGCCATCCTTGATCTTCCTGAGTTTACCATCTTGGAAGGCACCCCTTGCAGAGGAGCACAAAATTAAAGACAAGGAGAATCACTGGGTGTTCGGATGTTAAAATCTGACTCCCAGCTCTGGCTTCTGATGGGCAGTGGTCCAATGTGGTATTTACAGATCGAGTTTAAAAAAAAAAAAAAAAGGAAAGAAATGGAAAGCAGATTGCTTCCAGAAGCTGTGCATCTGCCGCCCGGTAAGCCTGCTGGTTTGACGCGCTCAGCAAAGTGCATGAAGAACTCCTGAGCGTCACAGTGATTTGGTTAATTGGGTAAAGATAAGGGTTTCTGAATAGCAGAGTCAGTTTGCCATATTGGCCTGGCACCCAGGGATGTGTGATGGAAAAAAGCTCGGCTGTCTGGATGCCTCTGAACGCTCCGTTATTTCATAAAGCCTGCACTGTGCATTTGGAATGCACATTTGCTCTTATGAATAACAGTAATTGTTTGGCTTGGCCTGCCTTTGTGTGACCGCCAGCTGGCAGTGACTGGAACCGTGACACATGACACTCCAGCTGTGTCCACATGTTTCTGCCTCGCAGTATCCACTTATATAATTTGCTTTTTTGATCAACATTTGAACCATTTAAGGGAACTCATCATATTACACATGCCAGCTACTTCTCTGCAAATACTTCTATTGCAATTTCAAAAAAAGGATTTTCATTATTCCTTGCTTATTATGGTGATGTTGCGACTTCATTAAACATAGTGCAGTAAAAGATACATTCCTAATTGAACTTGAGTATTTTTCCCTTGAATACACATAATTACAAGACAATAGCTTAGCATTTAATCAAATGAACCATTAAAATAGTAACTAATGATGGTCTTACTATGACTGACAGACCTGACCCAACTATCTTTAACTTCCCTCCCCCTCCCATTTTATTAGGCTTTGCTGTATTAGTCGTTGTAATTAGGTTTGTATTGGGAAACTGATAACTACCTGGGTTGTGGTAAAGAATCTTATCTGCTTGGGTGTTAAAGTTCCTGTTGTGCTACAATCTATTTTCTTCACAGAGATTTGGAAGAAGCAAGTAGAAATTGAACTTGACCCAAAATATACTTGTATTTTTATTACCTTTTCCTGTGAAACTGAAAACATTCACTTAATCCCTCCTTCCTGATACTGAAGAGTAGGGAACACACGCAGTCCTTTCAGCTCTTGGGAAAATTCTGAATTATGCAACCTTGGTAACTTATGGCCCATCCAGTGAAACGAGGCCATTATTGTTGCCTGAAATTCCTCTTCCACGTCTTCCCTTACCACAGTTTGGGCTTCATCAAATTACTGGTTGATTAACGGGGATGAAACTTTTGAATAGCTGACCAGAGAATCACATGTTGACAGTCATTACAGCCCAGAGAGACAGGTACCTTGCAAAAATGATTCATGCTGGCTACTAGAGACGTTTTACTTGTAGGAGGGAAGAATTTATTTCGTCCATGACTCTAGGACTCAGACCTGCCTGGCTCATGTAAGCAGGCAGTCTTAGCAACATTGGAGAAATTAAACAGAGTGACTGCTTTTTACAGCTCAGTGTGAGCAGAGAACAAGCGTAAGTCAGAAGTTTATTGAACTAGTTATCAGGAGACCTGAATTCTAGTTCAGGATCTGTCACTACCTAGTTGTACTGCCTTGGGGAAATAACTATTGTTCTTCCTTATACAATTAATTTGTTTATTTTAAATTTATTTTTAATTGACAAATAATAATTGTGTTTCTTATGTGGTACAATGTGATGCTTTAATCTATGTATATACATTATAGAGAGATTCAGTCAAGATAAGTACCATATTCATCATCTCACTAATTTATCATTTTGTGTGTGCTGAGAACATGAAAAGTCTATTTTAGCAATTTTAAAATATACATTATTATTGACTATGGTTGCCATACAGTGTAAGAAGTCATTAAAATTCATTCTTCCAATTTTTGTACCCTTTGATCAGTATCTTCTATTTTCCCCACATCTCCTCCTGCCCAGCCACTGGTAACCACTTTTCTACTTTCTACCTCTGTGTGACCAATGCTTTTAGATTCCACATGTAAGAGAACATATAGTATTAGTCTTGCTGGGTCTGGCTTATTTTGCTTAGTCATTTAGAAAGATGTTCTCTAGTTCCAGTCATGTTGTTGCAAATGACAGAACTTTGCTTTTAAAGGCTGCATAGTATTCCATTATGAATGTGCAGGTTGCTTTTATGTCTTATCTGTTGTAAATAATGCTGAAATGAACATGAAGTACATATATTTTGTCAATACACCAATTTCAAATGCCTTTGGATATATGTATATCCAAAGTGAGACTGCTAGATCATATGGCAATTCTGCTTTTAGTGTTTTAAGGCATCACCATACTGTTTTTTTTTTATTTTTTTATTTAATAAATGTGAATTTACAAAGTGCAACTTTTGTATTGTTGTGGCTTCCCCCTCCAACCTCCCTCCCTTCCACGGCCCTCTCCTCTCCCACTCCCTCTCCCATCCCACCCTTCATCGAGTTTCATTTTCAATTACCTTCATATACAGAAGATCAACTTAGTATACACTAAGCAAGGATTTCAGCAGGCTGCACTCACACAACCACACAAGGTATAGGGTATTGTTCGACTAGTAGTGTTGTCTTTAAGTTTCATAGTAAAACACATTAAGGACAGAGATCCTATGTGGGGAGCATGTATCCAGTGACTCCCGTTGTTGATTTAACAATTGGCACTCTTATTTATGACATTAGCAATCACCAGAGGCTCTTGCCATGGGCTGTCTAGGCTATGGAAGCCCCGTGAGTTCACCAACTCTGAACTTGTTTAGTTAAGGCCGTATTACAGCAGAGGTTCCTTCCTCCCTTCGGAGAAAGGCGCCTCCCTCCTTGATGGCCTGTTCCTTCTGCTGGGGTCTTGTTCACCAGGATCTTTCATTTAGATTGTTTTTGCCACCATGTCATGGCTTTCCATGCCTGTGAGACTCTCATGGGCCTTTTAGCCAGATCAGAAAGCCCCAAGGGTTGATTCTGAGGCCGGAGTGCTGTTTTGGGCGTTTGCCATTCTATGAGTCTGCTGCGTGTCCTGCTTCCCCCGCAGGATCATTCTCTCCCTTTTAATTCTATTCTTCATTATTTGCATTCACTGGTCTTATTTGTGAAATCTCTTCAACACTTACCCTATCTTTTTGATCAGTTATGTACTTATACTTATCACTTTACCAAGTGCGCTGGCATTGGTACATGCCTCCTTGATAAGGTTGAGTTGAAATCCCCTGGCACATTTCTAGTTCCACCATTGGAGGTAAGTCCGAGTGAGCATGTGCTGACCTATATATCTCCTCTCTCTTATTCCCACTCCTATATTTAACAGAGATCACTTTTCTGTTAATTTTAAACGCCTAGGAATGATTGTGTATTGATTACAGAGTTCAACCAGTGGTATTAGGTAGAACAAACAGAGCAACAACAACAACATAATACTAAAAGGAATAAAATAGTAAGTTGTTCCTCAACAGTCTAGACAAGGCCTAATCATGTCATTGTCTCTCATAGTGTCCATTTCACTTCAACACCATACTATTTTATAAAATGACTATACTAATGTATATGCTTACTGAAAGTATAAAATGTTCTCATTTTCTCCACACCCTCAATAACACATTATCTTCCATACTTTTTACTAACATTGATTTGCGTTTCCCTGATAATCTGAGATGTTGTACATTTTTTCACATATCTGTCAGTCATTTTTATCTCTTCTTGAAAAATATGTCCAGATCCTGACTTCTTAACAAATTGAATGCCTGATACAAGAAGAAGAAAAGGAGAAGGAAGAGGGGAAGGGGAGAGATAATAGCCTTATCCTTCAAAGATCATTATGAAGACCCAGACAGGTAATAATCACAAAGGGACTTGGATAAGTAGAAAACATTCTACAAACTCAAAAATATTGATATTGAAAATATAATGGACTTAGAAGTCAAAACTACGGGTATACATATCTTACTTAGGAATATACATCATCAGAGGCTGGGAAAAAGTAAGCAGTGTTAGCTGAGTGGACACTGTTTTCTGAGGGGTATTTGAAAAAAAAATCAAATTGAGAGTTGCTTGGAAAAATAAAACATTCTCAGCTAATTTAATGTCAACAAATTTGTGAGCTGGGTGGAACTAAGAGCCTTTTAGCCAACTCACTTTATTTTACTACTGGAAACTGGGTCATAGCAAAGAGAAGTTACCTATCCAGGACCACAGATGCAAAGATATTTCACGGGAGCCCAGGTCAGCTGAATATACTGCTTCCAACCCTCTCTGCTAAACCCCGGGAGAAAGCACTCTGTCAAAAGACACCTAGTGAGAATTCAACAGAGTCCTATGGAAAATTGTGCTGCTGTGGGAAATTAAGAAGAAATCAATGGATAAAGTGCCAGACATTGGCACATGAGATCATAAGACAATAAAAACCAGGATTAACAACCAGGAACAAAAGCTTGTCACATCCCTGGAGGGCTTTGGCGAGAGGCACGCCAGGACTTAGTAACCGGCTGTTGGAGAGAGTGAAGACGTAGAAAAAAGGCAGGACTGATGTTGGAAGCTTTACCCAATGTGAAGGGGTGATCTCATGGGACAGTGGCCAGCAGCACGAAGAAGTTCGAGAAACAGTCTCCCATCCACCACTTGCTACCATTTGGGGATATTCAGAGCTGGAGAACATAGCACCACAGCAGCAAAATCCAGACAGTGATGATGCCTGAAGTCAGGGAGCCGACAATGTCATGGTTCTGGGTGGTCCATCTGTTTTGGAATAAGACCCCAGCCAGCAGCTGGAGTTACCAGAAACAGGGTCCAGCTCTTAGGAGAAGAAGCTTGCGAGAACCAGAACCATCCCTGGCAGATACTGAATGCAACAGTGAAGAACAAGGTAAGATATCCATCTCTCAGCCAACTGAGCTAAGATTCGGAACAGATTTGATCTCAGCAGAGTGGCTAGAACGCAGATCACAGTGGGTGGGCCAACAAAGTTCAGAGGGAAGAAGGCACCATAGGGCTGAGATTGTTCAAAATCTCACTAAAAACTCTTACGTTCAGGATTGGAGATGAGTTCCACTGATGTAGTTTGAGTTTCCTGAGGGACTAGTGTGTTGATCAGATTAGTTGACTAAAAGAATAAAATTTGAAGGTTAAATCAGTGCTTGAGATACCCATATTCCGTATCAGAGTGCCTCTGCTTCTGATTCAGTTTCCTGCTAATGCGCCTAGAAGGCAGAGCATGATGGCCCAAGTCCTTGGGTTCCTGCAACCCACATGAGAAACCTGAATGGAGTTTCTGACGCCTGGCCGCAGCCCAGAAAAGCCCTGGCTGTTGCAGACATCTGGGGAGTGAACAAGCAGATGGAAGGTATCTCTCTCTGTGTATGTGTGTGTGTGTGTGTGTGTGTGTCTGTCTCTTTCAAACAAATAAGGAAAGAAGATTAAAGCTTGCAGTCTACAGTGGCTGCTACTAAAATGTGAGAAATTCAGGATGTGATGTAACTGCAATCATTTTTCTCAGTTATGTAAATACCTGATCTTTGATTATTCTCTAAGCTGTAAGTAGTGTGAGGGAAGAGATCATCTCCATTGGCCATTATACACCACACATCCAGCATAAGGTCAGCTCCATACCAATCATTCAGTATTTGGGGGTGGGGGGGAATATCCAGACTACTCCTTCCCTCTACTGACCATTCCGATGTTAATTCCCTGCCATTAAGAACTTGCACTCTCTGCTTTATAGAGTTGTCTGGCAAGCGTGTACTGCATGTTTCCTCCTTAGCATTATCAAGAGGGAGGTATCAGAAGCAAAAGGATGGTCCAGACTCTGAAGAACACCCTGTGTTAGTCAGCTTGTTCTTACTCCAGCTAAAATACCTGAGGGGAGCTACTTAAGGATGGAAATTCATTTCAGATTCCAGTTTGGAAAGTTCATGGTCCAAGACCAAGAGGCCTGAGAGGGATGATCACATGGCCAGCCAGGAGGCAGAGGAAGAGGCTGAGCTAACCTTGGTCCAATAACCCACCATCTCTCGAGCACTACCTTCTGAGGGCACGTCCCCAGTGACCTAAGAAACTCCCACAGAGCCCAGCTCCCAGATGTCATGATTGCATCCAGTCTCCACCCCTCGTCCACTTGGGGACCAAACTCCCAACAAGTAAGTTTTTGGGGGTATCCAAACTATTATCTATATTCTAAATTATAACATATCCCAAAATGCCAGTGCCTTACTTAATGTGGCTAAATTGTTCAGGTAGAAAAACTGATTTGTTTATTTACACATTCACATGATTCTTCTCTATGCCTCAATTTATCCATTGTAAAATTAAGATAAAAAATAATTCCTATCTCCTAGGGTCATTATAATGATCTATGTAAACTGATAGATGTGGGGAGCAATCCGGACTAGACTAAGTTACTCGAATTAAGACTTATTCTATGCATCTGCTCTCCCACAATGTGGCGTTGGGAGAGAAGTAAACAGCTTCCGCACAGCTGCCTCCAGTTCAACTGATAAACTGTAGGACTTGCTCCTGATTGGAGGAGAGCAGCGTACTCGGCGTGTGGGCAGCCGAGTTGGGATTGGCGGAGGAGGACTATAAAGGAGGAGAGAGACGGCATGCACCAGGAACATCTAAGGGGAACATCTAGCTGAAGGAACACCTGTGCAGCCCCCGAGAAGAGCCGGCCGGCGGTGTGCCGCTCCCCTGCGGAAGTGGGGAATGTGGCCAGGGGGAACTGCCCTTCCACGGAGGTGGAAGGGATAGTAGCCAACCCGGGAAGAACCAGCAGCAAACCCGGGGAGGGCCGAGCAGACGAAAGAACAGCGCAGGGTCCTGTGTCGTTCCTCCACGAAGAGGGGGAGCGACAGATAGACATAAAAGATCAAGAAAAAGGCTGGCGCCGCAGCTCACTAGGCTAATCCTCTGCCTTGCAGCGCCGGCACACCGGGTTCTAGTCCTGGTCAGAGCGCCGGATTCTGTCCCGGTTGCCTCTCTTCCAGGCCAGCTCTCTGCTGTGGCCAGGGAGTGCAGTGGAGGATGGCCCAAGTGCTTGGGCCCTGCACCCGCATGGGAGACCAGGAGAAGCACTTGGCTCCAGGCTTCAGATCAGCACAGTGTGCTGGCCGCAGCGGCCATTGGGGGGTGAACCAATGGAAAAAGGAAGACCTTTCTCTCTTTCTCTCTCTCTCTCTCTCACTGTCCACTCTGACTGTCCAAAAAAAAAAAAAATCAAGAAAAGTTCCTGGCATATGGCAAGTAGTCAATAAAAGTTAGCTAGGATCACAATCATCGTCATCATTTCCGTCATCACCACCAGCACTGTCACTAAAGAATCACTTGCTCAGAGGGGAGCATGCCTGAAGCTTGTGCATTCCCTGAGTGTTGAGGCATAATTGCACTGCATGTTCTCCAGTTAATACAGAGCTGGGCACAATGTGAGTGATCAACAGGTGCACGTAGATTAAAACAATGAACATATGCACAAAGTCCAGCTGAGACTCTATGGTTAAATACAATAGCAGAAAGGCAGTGGTGATGTGGAAAGACATTTGGAATAAATGCAAATTAAACCTAGAAAAGGTACAGGCTGGACATGTTTTAAGGAGTACATCAAGTATATTGCTGAAGTTCTTGTAGAAGACTGGGTTACTATGGAACCGAGAAGTGTGCTTAGTGCCAAGGTAAGGGAAATCTTGAAATCTAGGCTAAGATGGTTGAGCTTTATTGTGAATTAGAGTTTTCACAATTATTTTTCACCCCAGAAATACAGTTAACAAATGATGGCCAGTCTACTTCTAATAAATTGTTCAAGCAGGGGTGGACATTTGTCAAAGCATTTATGTCATGTGGGATGCCCACATCCCAGCTCCACACTTGATTCCATCTTCCTGTTAATGCACACCCTAGGAAGCAGAGTTTAGGACTTGAATGGTTAGGTTCTTGCCCTCACATAGGAGACCTGGATTGAATTCCTAGCTCCCAGCTTCAGCCTGGCCTAACTCTGTCTATTGTAGGCATTTGGGGAGTGAACCAGCAGGTAGGAGTAATTCATTCTCTCTCTCTCTCTCTCTCTCTCTCTCTCTCTCTCTCTCTCTCAATTGTAAAACTAACATGATTTGGGAGCACCCCAGTCACTGATTTCACTGTGGGACAGGCCACTTACTCAAAATGAAAGTCTTTTGGCTTAAAAATCATTACTGTTCATTAGAACAGAAGATGACTATCTTAAATTTTTTTAAAAAAATAGAATCAGCCTCCAGGTTTTTGTCTGCATGTAGGAAGCTGGAAAGGTCATTGCTTCTGCAATAGTAAGAAGAAGAAGATGGATAATCTACAAAATCATAAATTTTCTTGAGCCTATGGGAGAGCTGAGGTGGTAGGACAAACATCTAAAGGAAGATAGATCTATGGAGATATGAAGATACAAACACTGACGTACCTATAGGAGGTCACAGGGAAAGATTGCAATCATACAAGTAGATAAGAAGCTTTTAGCTAAATCTGTATTTTTTTTTTTTGACAGGCAGAGTGGACAGTGAGAGAGAGAGACAGAGAGAAAGGTCTTCCTTTTTGCCATTGGTTCACTCTCCAATGGCTGCCGCGGCCGGGGCGCTACAGCCAGCGCACCGCGCTGATCCAATGGCAGGAGCCAAGTACTTCTCCTGGTCTCCCATGGGGTGCAGGGCCCAAGCACTTGGGCCATCCTCCACTGCACTCCCTGGCCACAGCAGAGAGCTGGCCTGGAAGAGGGGCAACCAGGACAGAATCCGGTGCCCCGACCGGGACTAGAACCCGGTGTGCCAGCGCCGCAAGGTGGAGGATTAGCCTAGTGAGCCACGGCGCCGGCGCTAATACTGTATTTTTAATGAGTTGATGAAAGCTAAGTTTGGCCCCATGAAAATAGAGAACCACCATGAGCCACAAACACAGGTTGGTTTCACCCAGGAACTTAGCCAGATGCCGGTGGGAGAGAAGGAGGATGGGAAGGAGACCAAAGAGAGCCTCAAAGAGAGGTGAGCAGAAGTGACTATAGGTAGGCAACAATCTTTCCAAGCCTCTCTCCTTTCTGGAATAAAGGTCTTCTGTTTTTTTATTTGAAAGTCGGAGTTACACACAGAGACAAACAGAGGCAGAGAGAGAGAGACACACACACAGAGAGAGAGAGAGAGAGTGGGGTCTTCTATCCACTGGTTTACTCCCCAATTGGCCTCAATGGCTGGAGCTGCACCTATCTGAAGCCAGGAGCCAGGAGCTTCTTCCAGGTCTCCCACACAGTTTCAGGGACCCAGGACTTGGGCCATCTTCTACTGCTTTCCCAGGCTGTAGCAAAGAGCTGGACAGGAAGTGGAGCAGCACCCATATGGGATGCCGGCACTGCAGGCAGCGGCTTAACCCACTATGCCACAGTGATGGGGGCCACAAAAGTCTTAAAACATCTTATAGCATAAGAAAGGAAAACCAATGTATAAAAGAAAATAACGATGTAATGATGAAAACAGTAAAAATTGCTTCTCGGCCTTTTGGCTAAGATCAAGTGAAAACAGTAAAAATCAAAGTAATCATAAATTCATTTTTCCTAATTAAGACAGTGTTTTATGGGTGAAGAATAGACACATTAATCAATGGAATAGGAGAATGAGTTCAAAAATAAATTCATACACATATAGCTAATCAGTTTTTGAACCAGTTACAAAGGCAATTCAGAGATAACACAAGCCTACCGCAAAGTCCCTCCAGGACAATTATAATAGCCCCCATTCCACGCTTGTCCTAAGAAAACTGCTAAATACCAAAATCAAAGACAAAAATCTTAGAACTAGCTGGAGGGGAAATAAAAGATGTATTACCTTCAAAGTGCAACAATGAAGACTCATGTTTGACTTTGAAACAGAAAATCAGGAAGCCAAAAAATAATGGAAAGCATCTTCAAAGTGCTCAGAGAAAATAACTGGAAATCTAGTATTGTATGCCAGTAAACATACTTTTCAATACAAATAGAAGAAACTTCTTATTTTGTTTGACATCTAGAAGGGAAAAAATATATTTGTTCCTATGGTAATAATAATAATAATCCAGAATAAATTAAAATCACTTGTTTATTTTTAGCCAGCTTGGAATCCTTGATCAACTGAATTCCAGAGGGAAATGATTCCTTCATAAGTAAGGAGAAAGTCATAGAGGCTTTCATTCCTAAGACTGTCCACTCTGGGTACTAGTGAGTAAGTAGATGAGCCAGTTTCCAATAATCAGATAGATTCTATAAGAATGAGGAAAAATCAGATAACCTTTAGAACATCATGTAAGCCACAGAATGATCAGATTATTGAAACATCCCAATGCAAAAGAAAAAATTGGTACATCTGGAAATAGTTCCCCTTACCATATCCCTGAATTTTTGCAAAGAAAGCAATAGTAGAGAGGATCTGGAAGTCAAACATGGGTTGTTTTTACAGTAATTGGATTCTTGGGCCTTGTTGAATTGAATCCAAAGGTACACCAAAGATATCTTGAACTGCAGTACAAATTCTTCTCTGCTTAAATATTGATAAGATTAAAAAATGTAATGAGAAGAGAAGTTAGAATTATTCACGAATGAACTCAATACTCATATAAACTTGCAGTCAATTATATTCTCAGAGGAATGATTGGTGCTCAACCCTAACCATCAAACAAAGGAAAGTAATTCCAACTTATGGTAAATGAGAGAACAAAGGAATGTTATAATTTATCCTCCACTATTCTTTTATCCACAAAGTATGGAATAAAAGTCTTAGAGTATAAAACTTATGAATAGCAGAAAAATTTAACCATGATTGAAACAGAACATAGTCAATAAAAGCATAACCACAAATTACACTTTCTTGAAATGAAATGGAAAAGGTCTCCAAAAACAGATGAGTATGTTAAAGAATTTACAGGAGAAGATGAAGATAATGGGTGAGGAAATAAAATATTTCAGAAAGCAATAGAAACTATAAAGAAGAACTATGCAAAGTTTACAAATAAAAATATTTAATTTCTGGAATAAAAATCCATGGAGTAGTAGCATATTGGACTTCTAGATTAACTAACTTGAAGACAGAGCCACAGAAATTACCAAAGTAAAGAAGAATGAGAAAAAGGGTTAGGAAAAAAGAAAGGAACAGAGTAGCAG